AATCTTGGTGCTGTTTTAAGTTGCATTTCTTGGATGACTAATGATGTTGAACTTTTTCTTCATGTATTTATTTTCCATTAGTAGTTCTTCATTTGAGAATTGTGTATTCATCTCAGATGCCCATTTTTGGGTTGGGTCTTTGAATTTGGGGGGCCTGATTTTTTTAATTCTTTATATGTCCTAGATAGAAGTCCTTTGTCTGAGAGGTAGTTGGGTAAAATTTTTTCCCAATTCGTGAGTTTTCTTTTTACTCTATTGGTGATTTCTTTGGATGTGCACAAACTTTTCAATAAGATGAGATCCCAGTTGTTGATTCTTTGAAATATTTCCCATGCAGTTTGGTTTTTGTTCATGAACTTTCTGTCTACCCCAATGTCATCAAGATTTTTACCTACTTTCTCTTCCAATAAATTTTGTGTTTCTGTTTTAATATTTAGGTCTTTGATCCATTTTGACTTTAATTTAGTGCATGGTGAGAGACTTGGGTCTAGTTTTAGTGTTTGGCATGTGGAAAACCAGTTTTTCCAGCACCACTTATTAAAGAGGCTATCTTTCTTCCATTGAACATGCTTGGCCTCTTTGTCAAAGATAAGGTGACTGTGTTAGCAGTTGCATTTGTATCTTCTAATCTGTTCCATTGATCTTCATATCTGTTTTTGTGCCAGTACCATGCTGATTTTATCACAGTAGCTTTGTAATATAACTTCAAGTCAGGAATTGTGATGCCTCCTGCTATTCCTTTGTTTCCCAGGATTGCTTTTGCTATTCTAGGCCTCTTCTGGTTCCAGATGAACTTTAGAAAGGTTTTCTCTAGCTCTGTGAGTATACTAATGGTATTTTAATTGGGATTGCTTTGAATCTGTACAACAATTTTGGGAGTATGGCCATTTTCACAATGTTGGTTCTTCCTATCCATGAGCAAGGAATATCTTTCCATTTTTTGATGTGCTCTTCAATGTCTTTTTTCAGAGCACTCTAATTTTCACTGTATAGATCTTTTACTTCTTTTGTTAGATCAATTCTTAAGTGTCTCATCTTTTTAGATGCTATTGTGTAAGGTGTGGTTTCCCTTATTTCTCTCTCAGTCTGTTTGTTGCTTGTGTACCGGAATGCTATTGATTTTTGGGTGTTCACTTTGTATCCAGCTATGCTACTGAATTCGGTTACTAAATCTATGAGCCTTTTGGTGGAGTTTTGAGGGTCTTCTATGTAGTGTATCATATCATTGGTGAATAATGATAATTTCACTTCTTTCTTCTCTATCCTTATTCCTTTTATTTCTCTCTTTTGTCTAATTGCTGTAGCTAATATTTTCAAAACTATATTGAATAAGAGTGGTGACAGTGGACATCCTTGCCTTGTTCCTGATTTTAAGTTGAAAACTTTCAATTTTTGACCATTTAGTATGATATTAGCCATTGGTTTATCATAGATGACTTTGATCAGCTTGAGGTAAAGGCCCTCTATTCCTATTTTCTGTAGGGTCTTTATCATGAACGCATGTTGGACTTTATCGAAAGCTTTTTCTGCATCAATGGAGATGATTGTGTGATTTTTGTCTTTGGCTCTATTGACATGGTGTATTACATTGATTGATTTGTGTGTATCGAACCATCCCTGCATTCTTGGGATGAATCCCACTTGGTCATGGTGTATAATCTTCTTGATGATTTGTTGTATTCTCTTTGCTAGTATTTTATTGAGAATTTTTGCCTCTGTATTCATTAGGGAGATTGGCCTGTAGTTCTCTTTTTTGGTTGGGTCTTTCTCTGGTTTTCATATCAGGATAATACTTGCCTCCAGGAATGAGTTGGGGAGTAAACTCTTGATTTCTTTCTCTCTTTTTCACTTGGTTTAATTTGTATTTTTAAAATTTTTTATTAGTATGTATTTGCCATACATAATGATCACATTCATCATAGGGAATTTGTATCTGTCCGTAATATGCCTTAATTCTTTTTTCCTCATTTCCTTCCCCTCCTTTCAAACTTTCTTCCCCTACTCATTTACAAAAGCTCTGTTGCCATTTTCCCCTTCTATTCTCCCTGTTATAAAAATCCTGCTTCCCTTTCCACTTTCTTCTACCTTGTTCCCCTTCCCATTTGGTCATGTCTTCCTATTTCTCTAGTTTTTATTTCCTCTATCCTACCTCAAGGTGGGCCTGTGGCACTCAGTGGAGACTGAGGTGGGCCCAAGGTTCAATTTTATGACTCAGGTAGTCATAGGCCATTCAGTTGCATGGCTGATGTGAGGTTTGAGATGGGGAGTCTAGGAGGAAACTCATGTGGGTCCTGGGCACCAGGTGAAAACTTGGGTGGATCTGGTACTGGCTCTGGCACTGGCTCTGGCACTGGTGGGACTAAAGCACTGGGTAAAGGCTCAGGTGGATGTCAGACCTGTGCAGGGTGCTGGGTAGTGTTGCAGAATCCAAGATATCAGAGAGACCAGTGGGGCTACCAGGAGGATTTATTTCCAGGACTTTAGATGCACATCAACCCAGCTGAACTCGTGTCCAAAGTGCTGGGCTCTAGAACAAAGAAGAGGTTGTTATTTTATACATTCAGTAGAAAGGGTTGGTCTTTGGTCTGGAACTTGTAGATAACCAAGCAAATTTATAGGAACAGGACAAGGGTGGGCAGTTTTGTAATTTAGCCTTGAAAGAAGATGAATTTTAGGGTGTTACAGAATTCTGCCTATAGTGTTTACAGGGACAGAGTTCTCATGCTTATCTGTATTCCTGGTGGGTCCTGGAACATCATAAAACCTGTTTAAAGGCACATAGCTGCAAATCTTGTCATAGAACAAGGAATTACAGTCATACGGGAGGGGATGGTTCAAGCTGTGAAAGCTTGTTTTCCTTTAAGTCCCGCTTCAGCAGAAGTCCAGATGGGGCAGGCACAAGGCAATGGATGGAGACTTAGGGAGCCCCAGGACTCCATTCTGTGATTCACATAGGCAGAGGAGGCTGTTCACTTGTTTATTCTTTCACTTCCCAGAACCAGAGGCTGGAAGTGAACTTCTCCTGCTATTGATGAGCATTGGTGAAGATCCTAGCTTCCTTGAGATGAGGAGGAGAAGGGCCAGTGTACCCAGAGTGTATCCTGGAAGCCTAGTCTCTGCAACACTCCTTAGTTCCCTCAGACTATATGGAATGTTCCCAAGATGGCTGTCCCCTAGATGACTGAGAGTAGGGGCAGTGAGGACCAACTTTGGAGGAGCCACTCCCTTTCTTTTTAAAAAAACTATTCAGATTTTAAAAACTTTTCAGATGTTTGGTTTGATCTACAATTTAATTTCAATTTAATTTTCTGTATCAGGGTGTAAATCCTTCCTCTTCTTCTGAGTACCTGTTTTTCAGCTGATCTTCCCTGACTCCTGTAGTCAGCTATGTTGGATCCTATCTTGTGAATTATATCTAAATAAATCTGTTTTTAAGGAGGAAACATTGGTATATGTATACATATATTTTTGTCTTTTTTTCCCACCTCTGAAAATTCTTCCTATCTGGTTGTTTGTGTCCCTTCTTTCCTGGCTTTTAATTCTAAACCAGGCTTTATTTTCTTATTTTGGGGTAATTGTAACTCTTGTCATGAGTCAATGAACAGATTGTTTCAGTGCTTCCTAATTAGTTTTTTCCCCCCAGTACGCTTGTTCTGAGAACTCTGATACTGATTTGAAAGTTAGCAAGATTTCATTTGTTCTTAGCTCTCCATCAGGAATGAGGTAACCCTACCCCCACATACTTCAAACTTTGAATAAATCTCAAAACTTTTTTGTTGCTCATGATTTCTTGGGGGAGGAGAGTTACAATTTGGGTTCTTCAAAAGCAGTTGCTGAGAATTTGAGGTACAAAATATTTATTGGGAATTTCTGCGATTTGATGAAGTGTCTCCCAAAGGTCCATGTGTTAAAGGCTTGTTCCCTAGAATGGTGCTATTGGAAGATGGTAGGCTTTTTAGGAGTTGGAACCTTGTAGGAGGGCCTTAGGACATTTTAGCTATGACTAGAAAGGGGGTGCGAGACCCTGGCCTACCTCTTTCTCTCTCTCTCACTTCCTGGCTATGAGGTGAGCAGTTTTGTTTGATCATGCATGCCCACCATGATGTGCTGCCTCACCACAGGCCAGAGTCAGTGGGGCTGAACTGATCATGGACTGCAACCTCCACAACTACAAGCTAAAATCACTCTTTTCACTTTATCGTCTGATTATCTCAGATAAATTTTTACAATGATAGAAGCTAACACACGGCTTCACATCAACGCAATTGTTACACGCACAGGCGCTGAAGCTTCGGATTGGTTTAGACGCAGAAGGAAGCGGGTTCTGATTGGCTAAGAAAAGTACAGCCCGCCTCTACCTGGGCGGGGCGTGCCGGTCCCCCTCTCATTGGGCCTGAGGAAGCCGGGCCCCGCCCTTCTTTGTGACGGGCTCAGCAGCCGGCGCGTTCCGGGCGGGCGACGCCCACAGGCAGCTCCGAGCGCGGCCGCGCAGCCGGA